TGGCCTAATATATAAATTAGATAGTTAATTTTGTAAATTGCAAATAGTCTAATAAATTAGTGCGTGGTTATCAAAGGGAAAAAAAAAAAAAAAAATTAATATATATATTATATTTACCATGATATCCAGGATATAAAAAAAATGCTAAAAGATATATATCATTTAAAAATTTATTCTAATGTTTATTATATTTTTCAATACAATAATTTTTAAATTCTAAATTTTTCTTTAGTAAATAATAAATTGCACTTGCTAATAATACCAAATGAATATAACAATTAGCAAAAGTTGAAGTTTTTAACTCCAAACATCCAACTGAAATTTTAAGAGGATAAAAAATAAATACAATAATGTGACAGTTTTTATAAAATTCTGAATTATTTAAAATATGATTTGGAAGATCATCTTCATGTTTGGAAATCTGTATAAATAAAATATATAAATTAATAAATTTTTATTTATATTAATAAATAATCTTTAATTTATTAATATATATACTCTTATAAAAGTGTATTTAAATCTTACAATTGAAACAAAACAATTCTACATTATAGACCAATGAGTTTTTGTATGACTTTTTAAAGTTCCATCTTTAATTTGCAAGACTTTAATTGCATTATCTAAAAAGTGAAATACTGCATGTGATTTTGTAAAGTATCTATAAAGAACATCTATTTTACAAATCATTTTTACAACAAACTTATGCTTGTATAAATCCTTGGTAATTAAATTAATACAATGTGGTATACATCGAAAATTTAATATGTGTGGATATTTTTTGCAAAGAATTTCTTGAGCAACACAAACATTTGATCCATTGTCAGTTACTACTGCAGCTAATTTTTCAGGTCCAATCTTTTTGACAATTTCAATAAGTTCATTACCAAAAAAAGTGCCTGTGTAATGAAAAACACTAGAATAATCTTTAGAGCACCAAAGATATTCTTTGCATTTATTAGTAATTATACAATAATCATAAATTGATTTTCTAGTAGGTCCAGTCCAACTACCAAATATAATAGTAGGTTTAATTTCATCTTTAATAATTTGCTCAACTCTTAAATTAATTTGAGCAAGCTTTTGGTTAAAAAGTATATTAGATAAAACCAAACAGCTTAGAAGAGAATAAGTAGAACATAAAGCTTTAGTAAAATCATAAAAAAAGGATACTCAATAAGAGCAAATAATATATTACAACCAAGAACTAATTTTACTAATGCTTTATTAATCTGATCTGCTTTGCTTAAAGAAATAAAAATATTTTTATAATTTGTATCAATATGTGTATTGCTTTATAATTTTCTTTTTTTATTAGATTTAGCAACTAGCAGTTTGTCATCAAAGTCTAAACCTATATGCTAATGAAGTTAATACCTGAATTCAGGTTTTAGAATCAACCTTTTGATATTCATATGCAAGATGCTTTTTAAGATCTTTAGGTTTTCTAGAAGTCTATATTTCGAAGCAGTAACTACATATTGCAGTATAATGTCCTTTATAAATTTTATCTCCTTTTATAAATTTATCTTATATTTTATCAGAAAGATAACTAATTGCTTTTTTGGCCATATTAGATAACATTGCTATTGGTATAAAATAGGTATTTGGTTAACCAAATGATTAAGTTTATATGATTAGTAAAAAATAAATTCAATTAATATCAAATTTTATACAATTTCACTATATTACTTAAATAGTTAACTAATTATATTGGATCATAGTCTATATCATAATATGTACTGTATATATATTTAAATGATGATAACAAATTTTTATATTGTAAAAATAATAAATTTTATTTTGAAAAAATGACAAATTTTATTTAATAAAGGAACTAATAGTGATACAAATCAAAAATCAAAAAATCAATTAATTGGCTTAGTTGACAACTACATCAGGAAGTTTTTAAAAATGTATAAACTCATTGTTTAATAAAATTCCACATAACTTGCATTGTACAACAATTTTTATTAGAAAAAAACTAAAATCAACAAAATTGCAATTCTGTTGATTTTAGTTTTTTCTTAATAAAAATTGTTGTACAATGCAAGATATATTAAATTTTATTGAACAATGAGTTTACACACTTTTAAAAACTTCCTGATATAATCAATTGAAAAATTTTTGTCAACTTATATTAAAATCGAATAAAAACTGAACAAAAATTGAATAAAAATCAAATAATCGTTTAGTTGACAACTAATCGATTACAAAATTTTTGACAATTTGTATTACTAGGAATTAACTAATGCAAAAGTTTAATTTAAATTTTGACAAATTAAACTAACTTTTAACTTTTGATCAAAATTTCAATTTTGATTAGTTTTTGGTTTATAATTAAATTTTAATTATTGAGTTTGAAACTAAGGTCAAAATTTTAGAATTTCAGCTACAAGTATATTAGAGATGTCTTGCTGTATATTCTTTTATATATTGTTGTTACCTAGTTATCAACTAGTATTTACTTTATTGATTGCATTATATTATCTAGCCACAATGGCTGGTATATATTTTTTGAATACCTTTGTTAAAAACAATTTAAATATTTATCAGATACAATAAATCTCTATTTTATTAAACAACTATTACTATAATCTTATAATTGTAATTTTCACAAAAGATCATAATAATATTGATCTGTTTACTTTACAAACTATGTTAACTTAATATAAGTTGCAAAAATAAAATTTATTAGATTTGAGATGCTATAAAAATGTAGTCTTTCTGCTATAGCTGGATAAAGATAAAAGCAAATGTAAAATGATTTTTATAAATGTAGATAATCTAATTGATACAATATATGGAAGTCATATATCAATCAATTTTAAAATTTTTTGAAAATACTATAAAAAACATAATGCATGATCTTTAAAATTATTGTAGATCTTATTATAAAATTTGGTTTGCTTGTTCATTTTAAAGCTTTATTTCTATTTAAGTTATTTAGAGATTCACTTAAATAGATTCATGAATTAATTAACTACCCACAACATATATATTGAATTGTAAAAAATATAAAAAATCAAAGCTCTGCTCAAAATTAGCATAGAAAGTATATTTGATACTTCAACTGAATAACTAGAAATGATTTTATGTAAAATAAATCTACTATATTGCAAAATAATTATATAAATCTTTTATAAGACAAAATTTGTATTTTAGTATATTACAGTTTTTAGTAATAAATTATATCAAATTTACTAATACGAAATTCACAGATTACTGTTATATTAATATTTATTATAAGAGACCAACATGAACTAATCATTGACAAACCTTAAATATTAATTGAGCTTATGTTGGAATCAACCTCATGTTGGTCTCTCACATTTATTTATATTGCAATGAATTTAAAATGACAATTATTTTACTATGAGAGAATCTCATCTATAATCTATAGAATAATACATAATAAGCAAACTAACTTATTGTAGATAAGTCAAATTTATTATTTTATGAGATATTTTGTATACCATTATATTTATTCTCTTTTATTCAGTTTAACATATAATCATATTGCTTATTAAAAGTTGTCTCAGGAGCATTTAGTTAAGCAATATTATATTTTTTATTTATTTTATTTTAATTTTTTTTTTGAAAATTCAGCAATCTTGCCTCAACTTTATTAGAATAATTAATATTATACTAAGAAATATTAAAATTTTTTGAAGGACTAATCCTATCAATACCTAAATTACAAGTTTCGGCTTACCTGGTTATCCTAAAAACACCTATGTGTGATCTGCTATAAGCAAAGATTTTCCTTAATAAAATTTCTTTTTGCAATCAAAAGAAAAAATATATCAACAGAAGGTTCTTGCTGGCCCATCAAGACTATCTATTCTCTTTTTAAAACTTCTTCTATCTAGGTCTGGGTAGAATAGTTTATCTTTTACTTCTATGTAAGGGAAAAATAAATA